TTGCCTCGGTTCCTGTTGGAGCTGAGGGCTTGAGTTGCCTACATTTTCAGAAATAAAAATCTCACTGAACCCTGCACGGTACCGTGTCCCCGCGCCTTCCTCCAATGCAACGGGTTAGCTCGCCCAAATGGCGCGAAGGGACAGGAGAAAAGGGGCGAGGGCGCCTTTCTCTGCCTTCATCTAAGCGCCTGGAAGCTCCTCCTAGCAAATCTCCCTCTATAGCCTCAAAACGGGCAGCTGCGGCGATGCTGCCTCTTCCAGCGGGGGTACGCCTGTATTTTTGCTCTGTGTGCGCTTGTCTCTGGGGAGAGGCAAGAGCCCTTCTCTCTGCAGCCCCCTCTGCCCCGGTCCTCGCCATCTCCTAATCCGCAGTGCTCACCCGTCTCGCTCCCTCCCCCTCAGTGCTGCCCCCTCCGGCCCTTCCCTGCTGGCCCCTGCTGCTCCTGCCATTCCTCATGTTCCAGCTTCCCGCGTCTTCCCTCCCTGCTGCCCCCTCCCGCGTGCGCGCTGCTGGCTCTGTCCTCCCCCTGCCCCCAGCTCGGCGGCTGCTCTGCCTCCCTCTCCCCTGGGCGCCGGCCCGGGGCCACGTGCCGCCGGATTTCTGCCCTGCCCTCGGCTCTGCCATTGACGTCACGTGCGGAGCGGTCTCAGCCCGCGGCCCCGCGCGCGCCCTCACTCTGGCACTCTCCCGGGGAGGGAGGCGTCGGCAGCAGCAGCAGCCCGCGAGCCCCTGCCCGCCCCGCCAGCTGCCGCCTGCTCCGGCTCCCGCCCGCCGCGCCGCGCTCGTGAGAAGCGCCCGCCGGCTCTGACCCCAAGTAAGGACCCGGCGCCACTGGCCCGCCGCGTCTCTGCGGGGTTCATGCAGCCCGCAGCCCCTCGCCTGCCCCAGCGCGCCCTGACACGGCTTCAGCACCACGGCCAGCGGCTCTCCCGGCGGCCCCTGCCTGGTTTCCTTAGTGGCTTCAGCCGCAACCCTCTTCACCCGGCAGGTTTCCTTCCCTCCCGGGCGTGACCCCCCCAGCGGTCCTGTCCCCGCCCCCCAGTCAGGGGCAGGAGACGGAGCCTGGAGCTGCACCGCTGCTCACTTTTGACTTTGCCCATTTGCCTCCTCTCGCCTCTTGTGCTCACAGGCGGCGCCTGGCTTCGCGGAGATGAATGAAAGCGGCGCGCTCGATGGAACCGGGCTCCTTGTCGCCCGGATTCAAGCCAGCGACGGCAACTCTTCCCTCCAGCTCTCCTCGCAGCTCCCCGTCTTCGCCATCAACCCCTGGGACGTTATGCTCTGCATCTCCGGGACCATCATCACCTGTGAAAATGCCATCGTGGTGGCCATTATATTCTACACCCCCAACCTGCGAACCCCTATGTTCGTGCTGATCGGGAGCCTGGCCACTGCGGACCTACTGGCTGGAGTTGGTTTGATCCTCAATTTTGTTTTTCAATATGTGATCCAGTCAGAGACCATTAGCCTTATTACCGTTGGATTCCTAGTTGCCTCCTTTACTGCTTCTGTGAGTAGCTTGTTAGCCATCACAGTTGATCGTTACCTCTCCCTGTACAATGCACTGACTTATTACTCAGAGAAGACTGTTCTCTGCATTCACCTGATGCTGATTGTTACCTGGGGGGTGTCCCTCTGCTTGGGACTACTCCCTGTACTAGGCTGGAATTGTCTAGATGACTACTCATCGTGCAGCATTGTCAGACCCTTGACCAAAAGCAACCTGACTTTGCTGTCTGCCTCCTTCTTTTTGGTTTTTATCATCATGCTCCATCTGTACATTAAAATCTGCAAAATAGTTTGCCGGCACGCACACCAGATAGCTCTCCAGCAACATTTCTTGACTGCATCTCACTATGTTGCTACTAAAAAAGGAGTCTCTACACTTGCTATAATTCTTGGGACCTTTGGAGCAAGCTGGTTACCATTTGCTATCTATTGTGTAGTTGGAGATATTGACTATCCTTCTGTGTACACTTATGCCACACTTCTGCCTGCTACTTACAACTCTATGATCAATCCTATCATTTATGCCTACAGAAACCAAGAAATTCAGAGGGCTATGTGGGTTCTTTTTTGTGGCTGCTTTCAGTCTAAAGTGTCCTTTCGTTCAAGATCACCCAGTGATGTCTAAGTGACTTTTCTCTTTGTAATGCTGCCCAAAGAGACAAACTACTTAGTGAATTACAGTGCCTGTTATGAACTAGATCCATGTTGTGAAGTTGTTGAAAACATGCTTAAACATTAGCACTTTATGTATATATATTTGTATACTTTTGGAATGTTCAAGTATGGATCCTTCGGTTCTGTAAAAAATGTGGCTGCATTTAAAGCTGTACATCACATTTGTAAAATGAAGACATTCCAAACCTGCTTAATTATAGCACTTTATTTCTAGCTTCTGAACTGCCAAAACAGTGTTGCCGTTTCCAAGGGCAGAGAGAAAGGAGGTGAAATGTATTTTATGTGTGTGTGAGTATATTTGCTGCACAATGTTGATAAATTATAACATTTTGTACACAAATAAACACATTTAACATTTAATTTTATTTTGTGTGTTTAGCTGATTACAGTGGAATAAAATATTGAAAGCCCTGACAGCTGAGCAAGCTGCCTTTCTGTTTACTGTAAAAAGCTCACCATGTTCTTGTATCTAAGGAGACATTATTTTACATATACTGAGGAAATATTGAACAAAAATGTTTACCTGTGCTATTTTTATGGGTTTCTTTCACTTCCCTGTCTATTATTTATTTATCTTCCAGAAAGCAAATACTTAAATATCCTATTCATTTTTACCAATTATATTCATAGATCTGTCCCTTATTAAAATATTGCATTTAAAAATTAAGGAGAAATATTCAAGATGCTTTTGAGTTTCACCTTAAACTCCCTTATTTCTCCCCTTAACGGCTTATCTATTTGGGGGAAAAAATCAGTGGATTTCCTACAAGTCTGTACAAGGCCACCATAAATTGGTTTATGTGACCATTCACCATTCTGAAACTAAACGCATTTCTCTTTTCCTCTGCTTGATTGAACTCTAAGACTTACATGGAAGAATCACTTAAATGCAGCTTTGTTGTCTCCCTGTCTTGGAGCAGTTTACAATTTTCTGACAATACAGTGGCCTAGTGGAGTAATATTTCCCAGGAGCCAGGTGAACATTACACATACACCTTAGAAGATTTGTTCATTGTATATCAAATTCCTAGACATCTGATTCTTTTACAAATGCTATATTGTATATGCAGCACACTTCAAATGTTGCTGAGTGCTATGTAAACTCAGTTAACTTATGAGTTATCACATACCCTTTCAACTTTTAGTTAAAGCCTGCAACAGATTAAACTGCTATTCATGTGTATAGAGCATACATACTAATGAATCTAGCCTAAAATATTTCCAAACTATATTGAAGGCAAACCACTAGACAAACACATCTCCTGGAATGATTAGGGCCATAAGAACATAGCAAGTCATAGAGATTCTCAAGCAGTATTTTAAAATTTATATTTAAGACAAAGTACTTTTATATCAATGTGCCATTTCACTGGTAATTAATTACATTTCAGTTTAAGAGTAATATGATCAACCATCTACAATTCAAACTCTCATAACCCTTGTTATTAGTAATATTTTTATTTATTATGTATTAGCTGCAGATTTTTGACAATAAAGGTTGGAGGACCCTAATAAATGTAACAATAATCAGTCATCAACGTGATAGAATCATTCATTAGCCTTAATCCATTAAAGCAATTTCTTTCCCAGTGTTTTTGTACTCAGATGTTATATTAACAAAATTAATCACCAAGAAAGATGATCAACAGCTGGCTAGGACCAGTCAATAAAACTTACTACCTGTTAGGATTTGACTTTATAACTTGTTGTGATCTCAACCTGAATATCATCAAAACTACATAGAGACTGCAGTAGGTTTTCTGATTTAGATAGGAACAATCATTTTAGTAATTGAAATTGTTTAACAGAGAAATGGAAGCAATTCATAGTTATTTACCCACATATAATCTTCAGGTTTGTTCTGTTTACATTTTTAGAACAGCATATATAATATTTACTAGTCAATTTATTTTGTATTTTGTTTGTATAATGTGAACACATTTTATTAACCATTGTCTCAATAATTTATAATATCATTTAACAAAACTGAAAATAATCCCTTATTTTAAATTTGGAGTATTGTGATTATTGAAAGACTTTAATAAGCATTCTTCTGCTACAGTTATGAGCAAATTTATTTTTAATTATCGCAGTCATTTGTAATAAATTATTTTGACATATATAATGTTCAGAAACCTTTTGCTAAAAGTGGGGATGATATTTTCATTTTGTTTTGGCTACCCCTTGGACTGGAATTGATGTCAATTTAGTTGCAGTAAAATATGGCCTTTCATTTCCAGAGTCTTGATCTGCAGGGATACCTGAGCAGAATAATATTAACACAGACTACAAAATATCTGTCTCTTCAAATCACTTCTCACTCTAGAGAAACAGAAATCATAGTCCTTGGCTGAAAGCACCATGAAAGGAAATCTAATAATTTTATAGATCTATATTACATTTTTTCTTGATGAGATTTCTGAAGAAAATGCCTTCTTCTTTATATAGCAGATGATTTTACATTTGCAGCTTCTGCACATACACAATCTTAAATTGACTAACTGCAGATTTACCTCGACTGCTGAATTATTTTTGACAAAACATTGAATGATATGTTGGAATTTATATTACCAATTAATCAGCTATGAAAGATTTCACAATAATCAACATGAATCAACACATTGGGGATTGCTTCTACCAATTATGCTTACTTTCTGAGGTCAATGCAATTCACATATCAGGTCTGATTCTGCATTTCCAAAACCCACAATAAAGTATATGGGGAATTTTGCCTGTGGAGGGACCTCGGAATTGGGATGGTAGTCTATTATCATCAAAATAGCCACTCGGACAAACACTTATTTCCTTGAAACCACTGCCAGTAGTGAGGCCTACCCTTGGAAATATTTGCAGGCATATGCCCTAAAGTGGCTATTTTTATAAAAACAAATGCTTATCTCCCAATCTTGTAGTCCCTATGTTTGCAAAATTTACATTGATTTCAGGACTGCAACTGTTGGGCATGATATGTGATTATGGAACTTATGTGTGGCCCTCATTGAAAATATACCACAAGTTGTCTGCCTTTATACAATAGTTATTTATCACGTTATGGTAAAACAGATAATGCAATATCAACAAAGGTTGATATTGTCAGTTTTGGGCAATTACAACTGTATCCCCTCCCCCCAGTGTTCACCAAGGACACCTACTTTTGGGCGTTAAGCATTCCATCTATCACTGCTCTTGGGCAGAGACACATAGCTCACTCACTTCTGACTGGGCTATTTCCAGGCTGCACAGTTCCCTGCCTACTTTATGAATTCCCTAGCAGCACAGATTGTCTAAGCAGCCCTGTTTTGCTCTCTCCTGTGAGGCCATAAGCAATGTAAATACTCACAGTTATGAAGGAGCACAGTTTTTCCTAGCCAACTACATTTATTCTTAAGGTGAAATCATTTCAGAGAAAACACATTAAAACTATAAAAAAACCCTCTACATGTACGCTAATAAACTTACCAGAGATCATCCTAACTCCAGTAAGGGCTCTGATAGGTGTCATTCCTTAAAACTCCACTAAGCATTTTTCTCTGGTTACAAGTTCATAACCACCTTTGCTCAGAACAAGCACACCCATGAATCAGTGACATCCTGTCTGTTATACAGCTAGGGCCTCTGATCTATAGATTCTGGGAGCAGATAATCAGTAGATGTGGCAACAAGGCAAGGCTCCCTTTAGAGATGGACCGGGAGGAATGGCTGCATGCCCCGTACTGAAGAGAACCCTGCCCTACCTGTGGGCCTGGATCCCTAGATGATTCATTGTTCTTTCTGTCCTGCCTGAGGGCTGGAGCCTTTGACTGTTTGCGTTCATCACCCTGTTTAAGTTGGCAGGAAACAGGGCAATCAGAAACAATACAAACAGCAAATTCCGCTTTGCACCAGAGTAATTTTTTTCATGGAAGAATACTTTAAAATCTATCTGGAAATTATATATAAAAGTATGCCTAATATTTCCACCTTTTCTCCTTACTCATATTATGCCACCCATTCTTTATTATAAAAGGGTAAAAAAATATATTAATCGTACAAGGCTATACAATGATGAATATAAACTGATATTAGATGCTTTAGTAAAGTTTTCAAAATAGCACTATTATCTTATCATTACTTTGTAGTGCAACAAGTATCCCTAAATAGAAAACTATTCATATTTGCATAGTTTCTTTCACTGTTGTTTCTTTTTTCCATGTTGTGATGGGGTATATATACTCCCCACTGGCAATTAAAGGGTTAAGGGGAGTCAGTGAGCCCCATTAGTCCATTCTGTGGCACCTGGAGGAGAGAGAGATAATTACAGGATTGGAGCTAGCTGGGAAGAAGGAGAGTGAGTGGTTTCTAGGGCTGAAGGACTGCAAGGCAGGAACCCTAGAAGGGCTTGTTGAAAGCTGGAAGCCTTTTAGTTCCTTATATATTTTGAATGTGAGTACTGTTACCCTAGAAGGGCTGTAACCTATCCAGGTGGTCTAGTACTGTGCAGACCATTGAAACCTGGAGGGAACAACATGAGGGAAAGTGTCATGAGCAGGAGCTGCAGATTGGTGAGTCTGGGGCATGTACACAAAATTTTGCTGTTTCCACTGAATTTCATTAACTTGGATTAGTTAGTTAGCAGTATAATCAAACTGTTTATGGAGTCTGATTAGTTACCCTGTATTCCATGGCTAGTGAATCAATTCTTGAAACTGGTTCAGCTGATACGGGTTTTGTCTGCTAGCCTAATTGTTTTAAATACAGCAACAGCAAATGGGGGGCAAAATGCTGTGGGTGCTGTCTCCTGTGGGACAATCTCCTTGTGTTAGACCTATGCAGTGCTGTAAGAATATTTGTGAACAGTTTTTAAGAATTTTCAATCTGTGTACTTTAGTGGTATCTTGTTAATATTGTCATATACATGGACTAGTGCCTGCATAATCCCAGAGAACAATGATTAAAAGATTACATAAGAGAAACTGGCCTTAAGATATGATGCCTTGGATGCATCAGTTAAATATAGAGCCAGTTAAATAACTGGCCATAAAAAATGTTTACATTTGTGCCACAAATGAGTCAGACAGCAAACCCCATGCTGGAAAGAGTCCAAAAGATAACAGCAGCCAGAGACCAAATGAAAATTCCAGCCACAGCTCCCTGAAGTTGCCTCAATTAGAGAGGGCAGTTGTGCTGGGAGACAGGTAATGGACTATTGTGGAATGTCTTACTGTACCCAGAAATAGTGACTATTGGGGCCATTTCCATATTGTCTAATGAAACATTTACAGAACCAGGCTTTCTCACGATAGCTGTCCAGAAAAATCCATAAAGGTGCTCAATACATTTGGGGGAG